CTCTCCCTCTCTCTCTCTGTCTCTGTCTCTGTCTCTCTCTCTCTCTCTCTCTCTCTCTCTCTCTCTCTCTCTCTCTCTCTCTCCCTCTCTCCCTCTCTCTCTCTCTCTGTCTCTCTCTCTCTCCTCTCTCTCTCTCTCTCTCTCTCACCTCGATCATCTCTGTGGGTTCATTTGGTTCAGTGGTGGAGTTCAGATTTTTCTTCTTTCTGGATTAAATCAGAAAACAACAAATCCATAAATGAACATGATGAAGGTCATAAAAAATAAATTTAAAATTAGTTTGAGGGATAAAACAAAAGAGATGTGAGATGACAGATTAATATTAATGATTGTTACCTCGTCCACAGAGTCAGGAGAAACAGAGAAATCAACATCAAGAGCAGCAGAGTCCACTTGATGATATGTATTATGAATGTTGAGTTCCCTGAGAATTAAAGATAGATATGTGAGACTCTTTACTGGTAGGATTAGATTGAAACGTTTCATTTCTACTTTGTGATACCCTCTGTTCATCATTCAGTCACACTCTGACAGTGTGTGTATGTGTGTGTGTGTGTGTGTGTGTGTGTGTGTGTGTGTGTGTGTGTGTCTGTGTGTGTGTGTCTGTGTGTGTGTGTGTGTGTGTGTGTGTGTGTGTCTGTGTGTGTGTGTCTGTGTGTCGGTGTGTGTGTGTGTGTGTGTGTGTGTGTGTGTGTGTGTGTGTGTGTGTGTCTGTGTGTGTGTGTGTGTGTGTGTGTCTGTGTGTGTGTGTCTGTGTGTCGGTGTGTGTGTGTGTGTATGTGTGTGTGTGTGTGTGTGTGTCTGTGTGTGTGTCTGTGTGTGTGTGTCTGTGTGTGTGTGTCTGTGTGTCGGTGTGTGTGTGTGTGTGTGTGTGTGTGTGTGTCTGTGTGTGTGTGTGTGTGTGTGTGTCTGTGTGTGTGTGTGTGTCTGTGTGTGTGTGTCTGTGTGTGTGTGTGTGTGTGTGTGTGTGTGTGTGTGTCTGTGTGTGTGTGTGTGTGTGTGTGTGTGTGTGTGTGTGTGTGTGTGTGTGTGTGTGTGTGTGTGTGTGTGTGTGTGCAGGTGAATGTTAATAACTTACCTGCCACAACAAGCAGATGTAAGGTGGAGTTATGACGTCCTCTTGTGTTCTGAGCTTCACAGTAATATCTCCCACTGTGATCAGCACTGAAGTTAGAGATGGTGAAGATCTGTCCTGAAGCTGTTGGTGAGTCTTCATCCTCCTTGAACCAGGTGTAATTAGCTGCTGGGTTAGCATGACTGCTACAGGTCAGAGTCACTGAACTGCCCTCCACTATCTCAGCAGAGGGACTCACTGACACAGAGGGAAGCTTTGGAGCATCTGGAGGAGGATAAAAGTCTCTTTTAAACATAGAATGAACATTTAAATCTTTCAGAGTTTATTTCAGTGGTCTAAAACTTAAAATATTATAAATACAGCATTTTTAAGTTTATTATTCCAGCTGTGAAGCATTAGTCCTCATGTCCTGTTAGAATCAATATCTTTTATTTGACATTCTCTCAGTCTAAAGCTGTAGAGATGTGAACTTCTCTATGAGTTAAAATCCTTTTGAAACAACATATCTTTGAAAGTGATAAATACTGATGATCCTCCTGCTACAGCCCTGATCTCTAACCATCCACGGTCTCAGCAGAGAGACTCACTGACACAGAGGGAAGCTTTCATGCTTCAAAAAGAGACGTAGTTTAATAACTGACCTTTAAATGAAAACAGCATTTAGTGAAAAGGTTTCTGAAGAATTGAAAGTTATTAACAGACAGGATAATCAAGGTGTGAGCAAACTATGAAACTACAGAGAAATCAGGTCAGTAAGGAAAGTCTCCAAATGTTGAATGTTGCTGTTTAAAGTGTTTCACTCACATTTCACATCAATAGAGATCCATTTATAGGTCGGCTTTCCCAGATCGTTCTCAGCTTTACATAAATACTCTCCAGAGTCAGAGGACTTGATGGAGCTGAAGACGAGCTGAGCTTCTCTACTGAGAGGTTGATTGTTATTCTCCTTGTACCAGGTGTAATTAGCTGTTGAGTTAGCATCACTGCTACAGGTCAGAGTCACTGAACTGCCCTCCACTATCTCAGCAGAGGGACTCACTGACACAGAGGGAAGCTTTGGAGCATCTGGAGGAGAAAACATCTGTTTTAATTTCTCCTCAACATTAAAATGTTTGAATTGTCAAGATGAAAAAACTGAAATAATATTAGAGACATATCACATGAACAGAAAAGGGGATAAGAATGAGCCTGTTTTAATATATAGATAATTAATGATTCCTTTAAGTGACTCTGTTCCAGCAGCTACAATCACAGTCAAGACATCTCATAAAAACACTGAGTATAAGATAATGAAGCACATTAAAACAAGTGGATCAATTCAAACAATCTATTCTCACTAAGACAAAACTACTGATGACTCTCTCTTTGTGTCTCAGTTTTAGGGACGCATCCCTCTGCTGCCCCCTTTTGGGTGGTGGTGTGTAATACATTCAGGAGTGTTGTTTTCCAGCTCCCATCGATGCTCCTCACAGCATCAGATGTTAGATATGATGTCGCATGACGAAGCATTGAACGCTTCTTGTCCACACTGGATCCATTAAATGTTTATTTCTCTGCTCTGTGAATTTCAGTTTTCTTTTGTAAACAGTATGACATCTAGTGCTTTTATTTTGAAGGTGAACAAACAGAACAGTGTTGCTTTAATACAAGCCTTTGATGGAGGCGAGCAGAATAAAGTTTTGCCTCCATGTTATCAAAAGTCAAAGCTCAATGTCAATCATAGAAATGATCAATGCATCACTATCTCCACTTTGCAAAATAAGCTAACAAGCTCTGTTGAGCGATGAGGTGTGAACAGTTCTGTTGTTTAAGAACACGTCACAAATCAGTCGAAGGTTTTTCTTTGGAACAAATTTAAGAAACTCTTCAGACGCTCACTCGGTCACGTGCTGTGAGGAGACGTTGGTACAGACAATCTCACACTGCTAACATGTATTATATAACTAACGCTCTACTCCAGCTATATTCAACATTTAAATTCAAATTAAAGATGTGTCTTTTAACCATTAGTTGTCAGTGCTCAGTGGGCTTTAGCTGCAGACTGTGAGTGTGAAGTAGAGCTAGAGGAAGCAGATATGATCAGCAAATTAAACCTTCAAATGAGAAATCAGCTCAATGTTGCTTTTCAAAGAAAATGTTTTTCACTCACATTTCACTTCAACTTTGACGTATCCAGATGTCCTCTCTCCCAGATCATTCTTAGCTTTACAGTAATACCTTCCAGAGTCAGAGACTGAACTGAGCTGAAGACGAGCTCTGATTCTTTACTGAGTTCACGACCGTTCACGTTGTACCAGGTGTATTCAGGTGCTGGGTTAGCATCACAGCTACAGTCACAGTCACTCTACTGTTCTCTCTGATTTCACCAGCAGGACTCACAGACGCTGAACAAACTGATGGAGCATCTTGAGGAGAGAAGAATAAAATATAACTGAAGTGACCAAAGAAGAATTAAGTGGAATAAAGTGCTGAGGGTGCAGATTGAAACCAGCTGACAACCCCTCCCTCGATGCTCCCCTCTTCACCTGCAGAGTTACAACAATCATTAAAGCTCAGCGTACTCTGTACGATTGTTTGAAATTCATGGAGGAATGTCGACTCACACTGTACGAGTGAAATCAGACATTCACCATCATCAATAGATCTGTCTCATATGCACGACTCAAATACACACACACACACACACACACACACACACACACACACACACACACACACACACACACACACACACACACACACACACACACACACACACACACACACTTCAGAGTGTGACTGAATGATGAATATTTGAAGCCTGATGACGTCACCCAACTGTTCCTGCAGGGGGCGCTGGAGGATCATCAGCAGCAGCCACCATGCTGGAAATCTAACTACGGATAACACATATCATTCATCGAATCAAAACAGAGACATTCTTTTAAATTCACCCCCTGTACAGTGTTTACCAGTGATGACAATAACTATCAGACCTATTTGATTTTTTTGTACCAGGCTGTAAACATGTTTATTTATGCTGTAAAAACTGTTTTTTTTTAACCAGTTTGCGACTTCCGTGGTTCCTGCAGCCAGCCTCTAGTGACACTCGATGAACTGCAGGATTTTGCTCTTCTGCATTGGCTTTAATTTTTCAAGACCGGAGTAGCCGCTTGGATAATTCGTAATATTCCTCCCATTCCGGTTGTCAAACTTCCTCTTTTTTTTTTTTTTTTTTACATTCTTTTTATGAGCATTTCACATAATCTAAAAATAAAAAATAAAAAATAGAAACACATCCGTTAAGTTGTACAAGATTTTTTTCCAGAATTATATTACACGTACATAAATATATGTATTTTTATTTTCTAAAGATTTATTTTTTTTGAATTTTCTGCCTTTATCAGACAGAGAGTTCAGTGGATATAGTTGGAAAACAGGTGAGAAAGAGTGAGGAATGAGACGCAAGAAAGGAGCACAGGTTGGACCTGAACCCGGGCCACCCGCCCCGAAGGACCACAGCCTCGACACATGGGGCGCACACACTAACCATCGAGCACCAGTGCCCCAAAAATGTTAAAGTTCAGTTTACAGGCTACTGTGTGTACGGGAGGGGGGGTTGACTGATGAATGACCTCAACAACAAACACTCACATGTATGGGTAAAGGTGAGTAAAAAACTGGATACAACCAGATTTATCTAACTCAGACTGTAATTAAACCTTTGTGTGTGTAGCTCAGTCTGATTCTTGTAAACCAGCTGCCTTCACCTGATTCTCTCCTCTTTCTCTTCTGACACATCAGCTCACAGCACCTCCTGCAGGCGAGAGAGAGAAACACCAGACAGCACGAGGAAGGGAGTAAGGTCATGAGGAAAGTGAAAGCACTGAGTTATAAATACAACCGGAGTGCACAGAGGGACATTGTGTTGTTGACATCTCAGCTGTGAGGAGACCACCAGAGGAAGCATCAAAGATGGGTGAGTGCTCGTCTGATGGAATTTTTCTTGAGGGAAGTCAAGTTTTACGAATTTCCTCAACAGTCTGTTTTTCTTTTAGTTGAACTTAATTTCCTCATTTCTCTGTTTGTTTAACCAATGTCTTTATTTCTTGTTCTCATTTTATTCATAATTATATTTATTTTCCCTGTATATACTCTCCAGCTGTATTGTTTTTTTAGAGCGACTGAAACATCCCATCTTCTTCCCCCAGGGATTAAATTAAGTGATTCTGTTTCTGATTCTGTTCAAAACTGATCTTATAATAAACATATCATTTGCAGGAGACATCATGAGAGTTCAAACTAGCGGTGCATCACAGCAAACGGCTAATCAGGACAATCTGCGATACTCAGGTAAGTAAGCTGCGAAACACAGGAGCTCATTTTATATGAAGTAGTTCAATACAGAGGTGCTGCTTCTCAACAGGCAAGGCAGGGGACAAATCCTCTAGACTTACTCTAAGTATGTTTTTCATGCTGGTCAAAAACAAGTGATGGGACATTTGTCAGACTTTAAACAAACCTGGACCACTGAGCTTCCCACCATGAGCCTGAAAATCAAAAGAAATCCAGTTTGTGAAAACGGTCAATATCAGATTTGGTCGCTCTGAGGCTACTAGCGTTTTTTTTCTGTGATTTTTTTTTTCTCTAAAGGTGTGAGAGCATCACACACCATGGCCCAGACTGATGCAGGCAGAATGGAAGAGTTCAGGTCTAAAATCAACAGAGTGGGGACTCAGAAGGGAATTCCTCCAGCTCTGATTGCTGCCATCATCTCCAGAGAGTCTCGGGCTGGAAACGCAATAAAGAACACTGGAGGCTGGGGGGACCATGGCAACGGGTGGGGACTGATGCAGGTGCTCATAAATGCTACTTTTTTTACTCGCATGATTTTAGCTTACAGTGATTAACCAGCTTTCCTTCAAACATATGTAGGTGGATGTGAATCCAAACGGAGGTGGGCACACTGCACAGGGCGCTTGGGACAGCGAGGAACACCTCAGACAAGCCACGGGCATCTTGGTTCATTTCATCGGACGGATCAGTACCAAATTTCCTAATTGGAGCCCGGAGCAGAAGCTGAAAGGTTTGTTTCACTCACCCACTAAGTTGACACAAAAACACAACCCCCTTCACACAAATGGTTTGATCTTATGTGTGTTTAATTCTCCAGGTGGGATTGCAGCCTACAACATGGGCGATGGAAACGTCCATTCTTATGAAAACGTCGATGACCACACAACCGGTAGAGACTACTCCAATGATGTTGTTGCCAGAGCCCAGTGGTACAGGAACCATGGTGGCTTTTAACTGTTGAAGCCCACTCTGACAACATTTCCTGCAAGTCATTAAGTAAAAGTCTAAAAAGTTGTTTGTATGAAATCCTGAGGTAAATAAACATGATACAAAAAACAAAACCACAAATATCTCTGTTTTTTGTGCTTGACTTTTGACCAAGTGGCAACTTTCGGTGTTGAAAAATGAAGCCAATACTGAAGTGTAAAATCCTGCAGTTCGTCGAGTGTCCTCTAGAGGCTGGCTGCAGGAACACAGGAAGTCATTAGTTATTGTCATCGCTGGCTGAATTTTTTTTTAAAGGCTCTTTTTTGATTTGATGAACAATATGTGTAATCTATAGTTAGGCGCCTTGCTGACATGATTGACAGCTGGGCGTGATGTAACGGTTTGTCAGGAGGTTTAAAACCCGCCTCAGCTCCAGCTCTCAGCCTTTCATTAAAGTTAGCCTGACACAGGATTTCCAAGATGGCGGCTGCTGCTGATGAGCCATATACGGTGCGCGTCTGGTATTTCTAAAACTGCAACATGATGGAAACACTAACCTCCGGGCTATTTCCTGTGAATCAGGGTGTCATTATCTAATCCTTTCTGTGTAGGCCAGCTATCAAGAGCAGAAGAAGGGAGGGGAGGGAAAAACAGAATTCTTTTGGCAAGATGAAGCCGAGATAGTGGACCTCTAAAAAACTGTCACTGAACCCATCCTGCAACAAGAACAAACAGTGTGACACAGCTCAGTGCGTTACTATGGGGTGCCGATTGTTAAAACATTGTGATATATATATTTTCAATATTTAGTTAATATTCTTCACATTTAGCTTGATTGCAAAGTTTAAGTGTTGAAGAAATATTTAATAATATATCTAAATGTAAAATATAAATGTAAATATTATATCTACATGTTAAATGTTGAATCTAAATGTTATATCTAAATCTAAATGTTAAATCTAAATGTTATATTTAAATGTTATATCTAAATCTAAATGTTAAATCTAAATCTAAATGTTAAATTTAAATGTTAAATCTAAATCTAAATCTAAATGTTAAATCTAAATGTTAAATGTTGAATCTAAATGTTATATCTAAATCTAAATGTTAAATCTAAATATTATATCTAAGTGCTATATCTAAATCTAAATGTTAAATCTAAATCTAAATGTTAAATCTAAATGTTAAATCTAAATGTTATATCTAAATCTAAATGTTAAATCTAAATGTTAAATCTAAATCTAAATGTTAAATCTAAATGTTAAATGTTAAATCTAAATGTTAAATCTAAATGTTATATCTAAATCTAAATGTTAAATCTAAATGTTAAATCTAAATGTTATATCTAAATGTTATATCTAAATCTAAATGTTAAATCTAAATCTAAATGTTAAATCTAAATGTTATATCTAAATGTTATATCTAAATCTAAATGTTAAATCTAAATCTAAATGTTAAATCTAAATGTTAAATCTAAATGTTAAATCTAAATCTAAATGTTAAATCTAAATGTTATATCTAAATGTTATATCTAAATCTAAATGTTAAATCTAAATCTAAATGTTAAATCTAAATGTTAAATGTTAAATCTAAATGTTAAATGTTAACTGTTAAATGATGGGCGCTTACATATTGCATATTTGCAACCAGAGTCTGCGTAGTAGGGATCCACGGGAAGAGCCACGGTATTGAAGTCACGTTACTTCCTCTAACGAAAACACACATTTAACGTACTGAGTAACATAAAAATCCCTCAGGTGTGTTAAATGTTAAATCTAAATCTAAATGGTAAATGTTAAATATAAATGTTAAATATAAATGTTAAATATAAATCTAAATCTAAATGTGTCGCCAAGTGTAAAGCTAAATATTTAGAAAATATGCAAATCATGTAATTTCACGCCCCTTGAATTAACCTCAGACCAGCGCACGGCCACGCCCACACCCCTGACCTCGGATCAGTAGGTGAAACCAGGGAAGACCCAAGCATGGCCGCTTCCCTCACAGCAGCAGCGGGCGGTTTTGGCCGGTGTGCGGGCTGCTCTCCAAGGAGCTCGACCATTGCCATCCACATCGTCAACGGTAGGTTAAGTGTTTTTAATATAGTACTTCATTCATCTTTATAGTTAAACTAACGTTACTTGGCTAGCTGACTGTTACCTAGCTAACAGTCAGCTCACTTTTGAGAGTCAGGTGGTTAAAATTTCACCTTGTTGCATTTGAGCTAGTGATCGTTATGGTTTCGGTGTTAGACCTTGTGGTTGAACTTTGGAGTTACTTTACCCTCTAGCGCTGTTCGTTTGTTCACCAGTGTCCAAAATTAACATCTGTCAAGCCCAAGATACCCGTAGTTTTTTAGTAGTAGTAGCCAGTCGTAGATTTTGTGTGTACATTTCGGGAGGCGGGAGCAAACTTTAAGCCGGTGTGCTAGCGACAGAGAAACCGCGCTGTTGGAGGGTTTGAATGCCAGAAACAAAAATGGAATATATTTTTGTAATGTTTCACAATGGTTAGATAGCCTGTGCTTCATTACTGTGGAGGCTTACACTCTCTAAGAGTCTGTTTCATTTTTATCCTCTGTATTTTTGTAAGTGCAAATCCATTAAACAGTCTGTTTCGCTGTTGTGAGAAATTAAGCGGTGTTTAACGTTTCATTTTGCCAAACAAACCCTGCTGCCACCCTAGCTGACATTTAAAGTCTGGGCTCTTGTTTCAGGTCTCTGCACCCCTGGGTAACCCACGGCCACAGGCTCCTCCAGCAGCAGCCACTGGCACGTCAAACATCAACACCACCGTCACATCACTGAGATCAGTAAGTGATATTAAACATTAGCTAGAAAAGATTTTTTGTCATCCTAAATTATTCTTACAATGTGACTTAAAAAATGCACCATATACAATACATTGAGCTTCCTTAGTTAATGTCAACATTTCTGTTTCAGAGTATGTTATTGTTGGGCAGTTGCTTGTCTCTGTACATTTCCTTTCATCATATACACAACAGGTTTAACTATGTTATTAAATCATTTCTGCGAATCAGTCAAATACATTGTCATTCCCAGCTTCACCCGTTTTGGTTGCAGTCAAATCTCTTGTTGACATTATACTTTGGGGACACTGCAGATTTTCCAGTAGCAAGGGGCACATGAAAATGCAAGTGCTAAAATGTCACTGAATTAGATGTAGAGGTCATCTGCTTATATCATGTTTTATATTTTAAACTTTTAGTCTCATATTGTTCAACAATTGCACAGCCCAATACTCTTCCCGCCACACACACACAAAATAGGGGTCTGTATGTGATAACAATGTATTTTTTTCAATTGTCTTCCATATAATTCCATTATGTGCATGACAAACTGAGAATTCATTATATTAGTGAAGACCTCTCTGCCTTTTCCTTCTCTTTCTTAGGAGGGGAGTACCATCATTTCCAAAGAGGACATAGTGAGTTTGTTGCTGCTAGGAACATCACTTTCTGAAGTTGCTTCAGTCCTGCGGATCTCCAGACCAACATTGTACAAGCTAATGCGAGAATACAACATAAGGCAAATTTTTTTTCAAACATTTCTGATGAGGAATTGGATGCAACCATAAGTGAGGTCAAGGCAGAACATCCTCATGTTGGAGAAGTTATGCTCAATGGACATTTGCATGCAAGAAACATTACAGTGCAGAGACGTCGTCTCAGAGACTCTATAAAACGTGTTGATAGAGCTGGTGTTGAATCCAGGAGAACGACTACAATACAAAGACGAGCATATACTGTGCCTTTTCCAAACTATATTTGGCACATAGATGGCAATCACAAACTCATAAGATGGAAATTAGTCATACATGGTGCAATGGATGGTTATAGTAGAAAGTTAATGTTTCTGCAGTGCTCTAGCAACAATCGAGCTGACACTGCAATGGACCTCTTCAGTACAGCTATCAGCGAAAACGACCGGCCTTATCACATCCGGACGGATAAAGGTGGGGAGAATGTCATGATTTGGGAACACATGAGAGAGCATAAAGGTGAAAACTCTGTGTTAACTGGAAGCTCTGTCCATAACCAGCGAATTGAACGCTTCAATCGGGACTTGAACAGAAACTGCCGTGATGTGTTTGCACCTATTTTCTATGAGTTAGAATCATTGAAGGCCTTGGATGTAGAAAATGAATCAGATTTATCTTGTCTTCATTATGTGTACATCCCCAGGATAACCAAACATTGAATGAGTTCAAAGCTGCATTTAACAATCATTCAATTTCCTCTGAACGAAACCGGACCCCCGTTCAGCTTTTCACACTAGACCGACATCTTATGTTACTGAACCACCCAGAAGCTGAAAATGAGGAAAGAACAGTCGACTCAACAATAGCTCATACAGACCACTTATTTTGCCCACTTAACCAGCAGGATATGCAGGAACTTGTTGGTACAGTAAACCCACTTGAACATGATGGTAACAAAGGAAAAACATTATATAACAGAGTGCAGGAATTTGTATTCAACAAGATTGTGTAACTAACTCGTTACCATAATCATGAACATGGCTACAAATAATGATGAAATAAAATTGACAATTGCCAAATGGGGGTTTTCACCTTCTTTAATGCCACTGTTTGTCATATAACAGTATGTATGAGATCATTTATACTCTGAAAACATCTTGCCATTTTATGGGCATTCAGCTTAAAAAAACTGACAGATTTGTCAACGAACATTTTTTGCAGAGACAACTTCTACAAACTGACTTTTTGAAAGACAGTATTCACAACATCAAAAGTCGTAACAGAAACAAACAAATACAATCAGAACTGTTTACTTTTGTCTGTCTTTGCCTAGCTACTAGCATGCACTAAAAATGGCTCCATTCATCAGAGCCACGAGAAAATCATCATTATCTGCCAGATTCTTTGCATTGACAAATATTTCAAGCTCATTAGAGCATGTGTGTGCAACAGGGAAGTTAATTTTTTCATCATGGATGAAAGTAAGTTTTGGGCTGGGAGAAAATCCAATAGCAGGTACTCTAGAGCTTCCTGCTGTAAAGGCCAGGATGTGCTCAGGATTCAACGACAGGATGAAAGCTCTCTCTGCCTCAGTTAAAGGAATAATACTTTATTGATCAACAGAGGGGAAATT